CCGGTTGCCATGGCAGCGGCGCTGTGGCGGGCGGGAAGCGCGGGCCGGGCCCGGCCATGGCGGACGAGCTGTACCTGGAGAACATCGACGAGTTCGTCACGGACCAGAACCGCGTGGTGAGTGCCGCCCCGGGGCCGCTGCGGGGCTGCTCTCCTGCCGCCCTTCGCCTTCGCTCTGCTTTCCGTCTGCTCGCTGTTCCTGCTCCCCGCTCCCGCCTCTGCCCCCCTTCCTCCTCCTTCCACCCCTTCCCCATTTCGCGCTCTCTTCCTTCCGCTGCCCCCTTTCCTTCCCCCTCCTTCCCTCTTTTCTCTCTCCTTCCCTCTTTTCTCTCTCTTTCCCAATTCTTTCTCTCTCCTTCCCCATTCTTTCTCTCCCGCCTTTATCTCCTTCCGTTTCCCTTCTCTCCCTCCTTTTCCTTATCCCCTCCCTCCTCCTTCATCCCCCATTCCTCTTTCTTCCCTCTTTACTCTTCTCCCTTCTCTTCCTTCTCCCCCTTTTCCTCCCCCTTTTCCTCCTTCTTTTCCCATCCCCCTTTTGCCATCCTTCCTCTTCTCCCACTTCCTTCTCATCTCTCTTCCTCCTCTCCCCCTGTTCTTCCTCCTCTCTCCCCCTTCCCTAATGTTTTGAAGGCAGTTCAGAAAGTTCATGGGTTTCTGCGTGGGTGTCTTCCTTTCAAATTTTGTTTCAAACATTTATTTGGAAAGAAAAAAAAAACTAAAAAAACTAAAAAAAAATAAAATAAAATAAATAAAATAAAATAAAATAAAATGGGTTTTGCCCAGAAAATGGTGCAGCAAAGTTGGTGCATCTTGACTGACAAAAGTGGTTGTGTGAACTTGAGCTGCCTTTGGCTTTGTAGCTTATCCCGAGTAGAATTTAGACAAACAACAATTTAATTATTTTTTTTTCAGCCCAGAAAACTTGGGGTTTGGTTCAAAAGGGCAGAGCAGGAGGAGAAACTGGTGTAAAAGATGTACCTGGTTAAAATGGCACAGCAAGGCAGAGAAGGACTGGGATTCCAGCCCTAAAATCCTGATGTTTGTGCAGCTGGAGATCCCCTGTCCCTGGGACAGGAGAGGGGACAGAAATTCCCCACCACACCTTTTGGGACAGGAATCAGGAATTCAGGGTACTCACTGCAGCACTYGTGTCCATGTGCTCACACTTTTGCCATGGGTTTGTTGGGAGGGAGGGGCTGTCTGAAGAATTTGATTGACCAACAAGCCAAGGATTGCAGATTTAACAAATTGAGAGGCTGAGGGTTTTGTATTAACGTGGTTTGTTGGGTTTTTCCTTCCTCCAGGTAACGTACAAATGGCTGAGCTWCACTCTGGGAGTCCATGTCAACCAGGCTAAACAGTAGGTGTCACTGCATCCCTCAGAACCTGCCCAATTCCTGTTAATTCCTGTTTCCATTATCGTGGTGAGCATGTTAAAATGATTCCTGTGGAGATGTTACAAACCCTGCCTGTGCTCCCAGTAACACAGTCAGTTGTGTTACTCCGTGTGCCTSACTGTCTGCCAGGCTGCTGGGTGAYGTGTGAAGGGTSKGSAGTCAATTCCCCAAATTTATATCTTCCCCAATGTGCAGCCTTGTTTTATATTTTGAAGAATAACAATTCCTGTAACCTCATCACAGATCAGCAGTGTGAGTGGGAGGCTCAGCCCAATTCAGTCCCACTCTTCCCTCCTGTTCTGATCACCCCACCCATGAATGTGGCTGGGATGGTACAAACACACTGATGATGTACCAAAAACTCTCCAGTTCCTCTCTCAGGGCTTTCAGAAATGCCTTTCTGGAGGGGAGACTTCAGAACAAGCTGCCCAGAGGCTGTGAGACCCAGCTGTTAAATCTGTTTGCCCTTGTGTTTCTATAGTTTTTGGGCTGGGATCTTCCTCAGTGGCAGAGGAGAAAGGGTCTCAGGAAGGTTAAATTAATCCTGGGCAAAAGAACTGTTTATGTGACTGTTTCCAGGTCAGGCTGGCTTTCCTGTGTCTCTCCTGTCAGCTCCACAGAGGGGTGGTGCAGGCTCTGTCCTCTCTGGGTTAACATTTCTGGGGTTAACAGTGCTTTCTTTGGTGCAGAATGCTCTACGATTATGTGGAGAGGAAGCGGAAGGAGAACTCGGGAGCTCAGCTTCACGTCACCTACTTAATAGCAGGAAACCTCGTCCAGAACGGGCACGTTGTGAGTGTTTCACTTCTCTGAGGTGTCTGTGAGCCTCTCTTGTGGTGTCCTCACCTTCCTTTGTGTTTGTGGGGTCCAAAGCTGCCCTGGCTCTGTCTCCACAGGAGCCACCGTGTGCCAGAGCTGCTGCACTGGTGCAGATGAAGGCTCAGAGTCTGTCCCAGAATGCAGACTGGGCAGCAAAGATCAGCTGCTTGTGCTTTGGGAGTCCAGTACCAGGCTGCTTCATTAATTAACTCCACTCATCCCAGTCCTCTCGCTGCTGTTGGGCAGCAAAGATTACAAAACCCTGTGGAGGGGACCCTGTGAGATCAACTCATCCACATCCCAGGATCTGCTGTGGTGTTTGGAGGGAGCCTGGATCTCACACAGGATGGAATAGTAACAAATAGAACAGCAAATGAACAGTTGAGGTTGTCTTGTTAATTAAATCAGCTTTTTAAYCCTGGTAAAAAGGAGAAACATTAAGTTATTAACAGTATTTTGTATACAAAATGTTTTGACTTAGTAAGCAAAGGAATTGCTGCTTAATGCATTTATTTTTCCTCATTGCTGCTTGTCAGGTTTTTGGGAATCTCAGCTAAAACTTCAGGCAGGTGCCCCAGAGTTTTTAAAAGAAGATGAAAAAAWTCAGTGTGTTTTATTTTTTTTTAATCTTTGTCTTAGCAGCTTGTGTATTTTTAAAATAAGATCACTGGATGGTTTGGGTTGGGAAGGACTTTAAAGCTCATCTCATTCCAACCTCCTGCCATGGGCAGGGAATCTTCCACTAGATCTACCAAGGGAAACATGTAAAGGGTTTTTTGTCCCCCCTGCTTTTTCAATCTGTTRTTTTTGAATGCTGCAGTGTGAGTGCCTGCTGGGAAGGGATTGCTGCGGGTGGAGGGGGTGTGGAGCTGGATTTGGGATGGCCCAGGGAGGTTTGGGTGTCCCTGTGTTGGTGTCCAGGGCAGGATTGGTGAAGGGGCTGGACACCTCCTGCTCAGCTCCAGCTCGCTGAGAGCCCTGCACTGCTGCCTGCTGAGAAGGGATTGCTGCGGGTGGAGGGGTGTGGAGCTGGGGTTAGGATGGCCCAGGGAGGTGTTGGGGTCCCTGGGTTGGAGTCCCTGGGTGGGTGTCCCTGGGTTGGAGTCCCTGGGTTGGTGTCCCTGGGTTGGGGTCCCTGGGTTGGTGTCCCTGGGTTGGGGTCCCTGGGTTGGGTGTCCCTGGGTTGGAGTCCCTGGGGTGGGGTCCGTGGGTTGGGGTCCCTGGGTTGGGTGTCCCTGGGTTGGTGTCCCTGGGTTGGGGTCCCTGGGTTGGTGTCCCTGGGTTGGGATCCCTGGGTTGGTGTCCTGGGTTGGGGTCCAGGGCAGCTTTGGTGAAGGGGCTGCAGAGCTCTGCTCAGCTCCAGCTCGCTGAGAGCCCTGCACTGCTGCCTGCTGGGAAGGGATTGCTGTGGTGGAGGGGTGTGGAGCTGGGTTTGGGATGGCCCAGGGAGGTGTTGGTGTCCCTGGGTGGGTGTCCAGGGCAGGTTTGGTGAAGGGGCTGCAGGGCTCTGCTCAGCTCCAGCTCGCTGAGAGCCCTGCACTGCTGCCTGCTGGCAGTAGGTGTAGCCGGAATGCTGTGGATTCAGGGAAAGGGAGAGAAATCCCTCTCAGAGGATCCTCCTGAAGCACTGCACGCTCTTTCCTTGCTGCTTTTTACAGTGAGGGGCTCAGACTCCAAAGCTTTATATACCCTTGCCTGTGTTTCCTTGCCATGTACTCTTTTGCTGCCTAATTAAAGCAGCTTTTTAATCCTGGTGAACAAGAGAARCACAAATTTATCAACGATATTTTATATTTAAAGTACTTCAGCTTATTAAGCAAAGGAATTGCTGCTTAATGCATTTATATTTTTCCTCATTGCTGCTTGTCAGGTTTTCAGGAATCTCAGCTAAAACTTCAGGCAGGTACCCCAGAGGTTTTTAAAAGAAGATGGGAAAAATCAGTGTCTGTTCCCCTTTGCTCACAGAAAAATTTTAAGAGCCAAACACTAAATGCCCTTGACATCCCACTAAGTGTTTTWAAATATACAAATATCTATACACAAGTCTTCTTTTAGGAACAGTAAATCTCAGGGTGTCCTGGCTTTTGTTTGTAGATTGGGAAAAAACCCCACCAACCCTTTTACTTTGTTCTAAATAATAAACATTTTTTTGTTCTCCTGAATAGTAAACTGATTCACATTTGTCTCCAAATCTGCCTGAAATAGAGGGTGATTATTGAGTGCATTAGTTCTGTATAATGGGATATATTTAATTAAGGCTGTGTGGGCAGTGTCATGCCTATAGCCTGAATTTAACAGTTTTTTCCCTGGTTCAGTCAGGTCCATGGTATCTGTTAAACCCAGATTTAGTGGTGGGTTTTTAGTCTGTCTCTCTGGATCCTCCCTGTGTTAACCACAGCCTGTTCAGTGTCCTGGAGCAGGTGTAGACCTTGAGGACTGGCCAGAGAGCACATTTCCACAAACAGTCATTCCTGGCTTTTAAATTAATGCTKCATTTTTCATGGTGTTTGGCTTTYCTGGTGCCATRTCTGGGCTACAGATTGCTGTGTTTGAGTGCCCTGGCAATCCAAGRGGTGCTCTGGGCTCCTGGAGCATCTGCCCATTTTATTTTGTTCTGCTGCACAGTTCTTAAGGCTTTGTTTTATCTGTGTTTAATCTCCCAGAGTCAGGAGTGGAGGACAGAGGCTTTTTTTAGGGATATCTGTGCAATTGGAAAGTGAGCTTTTACAACTAGTGGCTGCTGAGTGTTTAAAGGCATTGGCAGGATTGTGTGCTATAATAATCATTAGGCTTTCTTATTCAATAACTGAAAATACTAGTCTTGCATACAACTTCTTTTCAAATTTTAAAATTGCCATGTGTTTGTTTTTTCCAGTGCCACAAGGTTGCAGTAGTGAGGGAGGATAAACTGGAAGGTAAGCAGACTGGGAAAATCGTGTGGCTTAAACTTTTTTCTTTGAAAGAACAGCAAAATGAGCAAAGCTCAGAACTTGCCATCTGCACATAAATGCCCAGCCAGGCTCTTGGGGTCAGGTGTGTACTTTTTGTACCAGCTTTTTCTCAGAATTTGGAGTGTCTGAGCCAACAGCTGAATACCTTCAGGCTTGTGATTTCAGTCTGATTTTTATTTTAAATTCTGAACATTTTGTCAGTGATTCTTTTCCACCTCCCTGCCACTGACAGCAGGGAGGCAACAATTCCCTGGTAGTGTCTCAGAACAATTGTGAGCCTTCAGGCCTCCAATGAATGCTGAAACTGGTAATTCTGGTTATCGGTCCAATGCAATTGCAGTCTTTGCTCTGAGTTCTGTGGGTGTTCTCATAGGACATTTACCTCACTTTTGTGAGTAAAAGGTGAAAAAAGCCACATTGGAGCACTGCTCTGTGCACTGTCTGTTGTYTCACCATCTTCCCAGCTCTGGTCCTGCTGATGAAATCTCACCCAMAGCCCTTGAAACCCAACTTCAGGCTCTTCATCACTTTCAAATAACATCTTTGGCATTTGAGAACACACTGTGGCATTTGTGACCTTAAGGATCTGTGCTAATGATCTCACTTTGTTTGAAAGACTTGCGTTGTTTTCCTTTTGGAAATCTGCAGTGGGTTTCTAGCTGGGGCTGTTTTCCTCGGGGTRGGAGATTGTCAGGCAGTGCAACTACTCTGTGTCATGTTTCTTGAGTTATGTGTGCTGCGTAATACTCTTGTTTTGTTTTTGCTGTGGAGGAAAGGGTTGCTCATGGTTTTTGTATTGGAAGGCAGGCCAAAGGTATGACTTATATTTGGAAGAGGCTGAGRTTTTTGATGGGACTAGGGCTGCATAGTCTCGGCCTGGCCCCAAGAAATGATTACTGTGTGTATTTTTACAGTGCCTAGAAGCTCATTCTCAGACCAGGACTCCGTGGAAAGAACAATATAAGCAATGAACAAAGAATTCCTRAAAAACAGCCCTCGTCTCAAGGGGGTTGCAGTCTAAGTAGCATAAAAGAGATAAAGTTTTGATTGCAGCAGACTGCTTGGGGTGACACTGGTGCTGGACATGGCCACATAGCACAGAGCAGTTCCAGCAGGGAAGAGCTGGGACCAGCTGCTTTCTGCCTTAGCTTAGGTACTCACACAGATATTCTGCATCCCAAACACTGAATGTTTTGAAGGTAAACACAGAGAGATCACTCTTGATTCAGTTGTGCAAAAACCAAGAGTGTGTAGTGGCAAASGTGACAGGCTTGTGGAGTCTGTTTCCTGGAATTCTTCATTGGTGAGCGTTGGGAGAAGGTGCAATTGGACCTTTTTATACTCGAGTAGTCTGTCAGTGTTTCTGCACCCTGAAGGTTGTGCTAACAGGGCTTTTTTTCTCCTTTTCCCCCAGCAATGAAGTGTAAGCTGTCCTCCATTGCCAGTGTGCACGTGTACAGCGTTCAGAAGGCCCTGCTCAAGGACAGCTCCCCCCTGTACAACACCGACTATGACATCGTCAAAACAAACCTGCAGCACTGCAGCAAGTGAGTCCTGTCACCCTGCTCCTTCTGAAGCACTGCCAGACTGCTCTGCACTCAGTGATCACCAGATAGGCCTGGGWTTTTAGAAAGCTGGGAAGAGATATCCTCAAAGTGCTGCCAGAGCAGTGCCCAAAGAGCACTTKGTGTGATTGTTCTGTAAACTGAGCTCACAGTTGATTCACTTGGTCCTTACTCTGACAGGGAGACTGTTCCAGTACCTTGCTTGTCTGATRGCTGGAAACTTCTCTCTCATTTCCAGGCCACACTTAATCATGGCCATTTTAATCCAATTCTCAGTCACACAGGAAGAGTAAATCGAAACAGGCTGATAAAACTACAAGTGATGTGCTCAGCAAAGCACTGACAGGAGTTTGCTTTCTGTTTTGTGAGAGTGTGTTTTCATCCTCTGGACTCATCTGCCWCTCTGAAGATGTCTCATAGGAGCTCCTTCTCCAGCAGCAGGACTTTGATCCTTGTGGGTTTGYTCCGACTCAGAATATTCTGTGACCTCTGAGAAGCAACACAGAACAGCCCAGGCAGCACAAGGGTCCTTCGAGGTGGAGCAGGAGCAGGGCTGGGAGGAGCTGCAGTTTGCAGGAGTCCCTGTCTCCCTCCTGAGCAGTGCCTGGCAGCTGGAGCTTTTCATTTTGGTGTTGTTCCCACCACGACAGCTTCAGCTTGAAGTCATGGGGATGCACAGTGCCATGACCAATCTGGTTTAGAGGGGATGCCTGAAGGKTGTGTCATAGGAAGAGTATAGAATCTGAAGGGAGAAACGTGGTTCTGTCCAAAGTGTTGGCAAGAGGCTGAGAAAAGAGAAACAGTGTTTGGGGCAGGAGTRTCCCTGCCCTGGAAGGTGCTGGAAACCCCACCTCAGTGGAGCCACGTGCCCTGGGGTGGCTGCAGTTGCCTTGTTCTGCTCTGTTTCCTCTCAGGCACCCAGCATGGTGATACTTGTGCTTTAGGGATACCTGTATCCCTTGGGAYTTCAACATCCACAAGGTCATTTAGATAATCCAGGTTCTGAACCAGCTCTCTGAAACCAGTGTGTAAATCCAGCTTTGACGCAGGATTTCCCAAGCAAACCAAGAAAAATTGCAGCTTCTTCGTTTTKGACCTGGCCAAAGTAAACACAAATTGATCACATTCTTCTCTCTTGTCAGCTGCATGGATTGCCTTTGGCACTTGGGGAAAGATTCTGGCAGGACTTACAAAAGCCAGAGGTTTAACTATGTGGTGTTTGTAGCAAACAGAACCTCCCCAGTGCTCTGGGTCAAGGATCTTAGTTTAGTTCTGTCTTTCTCTGGGACCTGCTTTGCTGAACACAGTGGAGGTGTTAGGTGTGCTAATTAATGCCAATAAYTGGGTTTAATCCCTGTTGCCATTGCCAGCTTTCTGAACGGAGGCAGCTCCTTGTTTGCTGAGCATAGCCCAAGCATTGCCTGTTTTCTCAGTGATTATTTAGTGATTTTTGGGTAAAGCCCATAGAGCTATAGTCACACAGCAGCATCAAGGCAAGGTGACTTGGAATGTGGAAATTGTAGCTGAGCTGTGCAGTCAGTGTAACTGTTGACAATATCATTTGTGACTTGGAGGGTTGGTGGTGTTTGGAGCACAAGCTGCCCCGAGAGCTGTATTAACCATGTCAAAAACAGATTGAAAGCATAAAGGAGAGTAGGTTTATTTTTCTTCAATGTCTCTTTCCWTCCTTTAAAGGTTTGAATGTCAAGAGGTTGCTGCTGCAGCCTGGGAATCCGGTGGAGATGGTGTTGTTTTGGTAATGCTCCTGATGGGAGTAGAAGTGGACTGTGCACGTGAGCAGCCAGTGCTGAGGCACAGAAATGACCTGGCAAAAGGCTGCTCGATTTCTTAGGCAAATGGAAATATGCTGTGTAATTCAGAGGGCTGGGAGGCGTGAGCCTGGCCTCTTTTGTGGCATTTCTGTGGGAAATCTGGAAAGCGTCGCCTGTGATTTGCACAGTGGGGAGCAGAGTTCAGCTATTTTTGGGAACTGCTATTTCTGACTGTCAGTGAATTGTGCTGTAACTGTGAGCACGTCATTTAGCTCTCGTGTCTCCATATCCCCAAACAATCCGGTTTCTGACCATTCTAGGCTGAGATTCTTCTCWGCCTACCCGGGATTATGTGGAAATGGCTTTGTGTAGTTTAACGGGAATGTCATGGATATCTTCTGAGCCATTTCATTTGTTCAGTTTCTGCTGGGAGTTACTTACCTGGCCAGGCCTGGCTGCTCCTTGCAGCAGTTAGGAGCTTTGTCAGAGCATCAGAAAGCTGTGAATGTTTGAATCCTCACTCAGCCTGTGTGTACAACTCCTGCCACGGGTTTTGGAGAGTGTAACCCGTTTAGGAATGAAATGCAGCCTGCTCCCTGTGCAGCCTGGCTGCAGACAAGGCCCTTTTCCCCAGGAAAGCTGCACGGCTTGTTTGCCATGCGAATGCTGTGGCTCTTGCTGACAGGTTCAGCTGATCTTTTCATCAGAGGTCTCTCGCTGTGTGCCAGCCTTTCTTTCTTGTCCCATGCACGGATTAAATTGCTCCTTTTTCCATAACAGGAGAAGGCAGGCCCGGAGCAGCGCTGGCGCTCCAGGAGGGGGGAAGGCGAGGTGAAAGCTGCCCAGTTGAAAAGGCTAATGGAATTTTTCACTCCGTCACACAGGTTCAGTGCCATCCGCTGCGCCGCCGCCGTCCCCAGGGCACCTCCTGAGCCTCCCCGAGYGCAGACATCCGTGCAGAGCTCCCCGAGGCCCCGGGAGCCGGGCACCATCAATGGCCACGGGCCCCCGGCTGCCAAAGCGCCCCCGCAGCACGACAGGGGCATCATGGGCATGTTTGCAGCCAAAGCGGCKTCCAAAGGCCAGGACACGCACAGGGAGGCCAAAGCAGAGGCCAAGGAGGCCCCAGGTGTAAGTTACCTCACACCCCCCGGGCTCATGGCGTTAATGATCCGCTCTCACAGCAGCTCCGTGACCTCAGGCACCCCTGTGTGCTCCTCGTGCTAACCCTGCATCCCACTGGGAGTGCTCAGTGATCTTTGTAAGTGTTTAACTGTGTGCAGCCTCCTGGGGCACARCTGCCTCGTGCCACACTCTTGATCTCCCCACTAAAGTGTATTTCCCCCACGAGCCGGATCTCCAGCGAGTGCAAACAGGCATGGCTGCCTTATGGAGACAATCGTTCCCTTGTCTGCAGCYATCCCAGTGTATACACCACTTGAGGATCCTGCTCTCTCCATTGTGCTTAAAAGGATTTGTTTTGAGCAATAAGTGAAACCTGAGAAGCCCAGGTCTTAAAAGTATCAAGGTGTTTAAAGTTGGTCTGTGAGGGAAGTTTCAGAGCTTGACCTGTGCGAGACTAAACTGTTTATCTTCTCAACCACTGCTTTTCCAGGATAGGATTATGTTTTCATTTTAATTAGTATCATTGTTTTTAAAGCAATGTGGTCAGAAAAACGAGTGTTAAAATGGTAACATTCCCTGTGGATGGTTCGTAACAGCWGAGAATGTTTCAGTTCCTCTTTCTGATTTTTATAGGGAATTTAGAACTGGTGCAGTGTGCGTGTTTTGGGAACTTTAGTGTCTGGTTGCTTTTTACTTGCATTCAAATGAGTTGGATTAGGAGGCTGCACTTCCTTAGGTGGGGMGTGTGTGTGTGTGGTGTCTCTGTGGTGGCTGCATTGGTGCAATAGAGCAGTGCTGTTCCTTTGCAGACAGTCTACGTGACACAGGAGCTGCATAAAGCCCTCCTGCTTTGGCCAATCCCTGTTCTTTCCTCTGTGGCTGCTGTSAATTGAGGCACTGCTGGTTTGCAAAAAGAACAGTTCTTTCCTGGGAACTGACCCAAGTCCCAGGCATTTATTTCACTAACAGTCAGCCATCAGATGGGAATGTGCCCCAAGTTAGGTTGGAAGCCTGGCTAAGGAGTCCATAGGAACTCCCTCGGGCCCCTTGGATGCATGTAGTGTCCAGTGAGTATCTTCAGGTTCTCCAAAACAGCTTCTAAGATTTGATGCAATGAGAACAAGTGATATCTGTTATTTTGCTCATCCAGAAGCAATGCTGTGCATCTTGAGGGCTGGGAAACATTCCTGTGGTTCTTCCTCTCTTTGCTTCCAGGTGTCTGCAGCAAGCAGCAAAGCACCAACAAAGAACAGCATCATCAACAACTTCTTTGGAAAAGCTGCTATGAGTAAGTGCTTTTCTGTTTTCAGAGGCCATCATGGTCAGGGAACAGCCTGTTGTAGTTAAAAAAAAACAACCAAACAAAAACACTCAAAACCTGAGGGTTATTTGAAGCCTGTGGGGTTTTTTTTTTAAATTATGTTTTATTTAAGCTGGGTAGACATTGAAAAATGTTCAGTGGAATCAAGTGTTTTGTAGTAGAGCTGTGATGGGAAGCATGCAGAAAGGAACAGCCCCAATCCCACACTGCCAAAGTCATTGATTTTCTTTGCATCCTCTCTTTCCTGATGGTTTCCCATACTATTCTTCTGCTCTTGTGCACTCAAGGGGTTAATGTTTTTGCATGCAGCTCTTAAGGCAAAAATTAAGAGCTTTCAGTGGAATTTTTCAAACAAAAAGCTTGCTGGAGGGAGATCAATTAAAATGACATATTTGAGCAGGCTAACCCAGGAAAGATTTTTAGTGCAGAAGAAATCTGATTTAAAATGAGTTCTCCTGGCTGGGAGATCAGCTATTGGTGAGATGTTTGCCAAAACCTGTTTTGCAGGGCATGTGAATGGTGCTTGCTTTTCATCACACAGCACTGAGGAGCCCATCGTTAGCTGTAGGGTTAATTAATTTCCTAAAAACTGAAGGACTAATAGATGGAGAATAAAAATGAGGGTGGCCTTTCTCTCTGAGCAGAGGTTTGGACTAGGTGGCCTCTTCAGGTCTCTTCTGAATTAGCCAAGTCTAAAGAAAATGTGCTGAATCTATTAAATAGATGTTGGAAAAGGACTGTGGGATCTTCTTCAAAGATTCCCTTACAACAGTGAGTACAAGAGGCTCCAAAGAGGAATTTTGGGAGAGAGCAAACAGCAAAGTTCACTTTCTAACAGRCTCTGTCAGAGTTTGCAGGGGACAGTTCCAGCACTGAGCACACGAGGCACAGCCCTGCTGGGACTCTGAGTCCCTGTTTTGGTGAGACTGAGGGAGCTGAGGACACTCTCAGCCTAAGGACAGTCACTACAATTAACTGGAGTAAATTCTGAAGGTCTGAGAAGAGCCCTAGACCAAAGTTTGTGGGCTGAAAACCCAAAAGGCATGGCAGAGGTGACCCAGTGGTGATGGGGAAGGCTTTGTGGATGCATTTCCATCATTTCCAAAAGGGGTTCCCTGCTCTGCTGAGCCCTGTCAGGGAGCACATTGAGGAAACTTGTGAGGTGAGGTGGCTGCAGGGAAGGAGCAAACTGAGCAGAACTGGAAATGATTATGTGTATGAAGAGAGGGTGGGATTCCAGGAGTAAGATTTATTCCCTCCATGCACGTCTCTCTCGGCTTCAAAGGTTCCTGCAGTGCCAGAAAGTGCKGAGTTAACAGCAGTGGGGTCCTTGGGCTCTCTGCTGTTGATCATAAATAAGAGAGCTGTTGTTGCAGTGATGTTCACCTTCGCTCAAGGAACAGCCAGCCTGTTCTCCCAGCTCTCCCAGAAAGGCATTGGTGTGACATTGTGGCCCTGCAGCAGCCTCTGACCCCACTGATGATGCAGTTGATCTCCTGCCACTGGCTCCCAGTCCTCTTCCACAGAGTTTTAACTGCTGCAGTACATGTGGCTTGACATCAGGAGCAGCACAGCCATGGGAAATCACCTGGAAATTTAACCATGCCCTTCTTTTCCCCATGTGTGATACAGCTTGGCCAGTCYAGGTCCCTAATGCAGTCTAATCCCYAARTACATGATGGGTAGTGTTTTCTGGGTTCTTGGTGCACAGAGCTGGCCAGCTGCTTTGTAAATTGTCATTCAAGCTGAATGCCCAGTGTTTGTTCTTTTTGAATGGTTTATTCRCAGATAAACTCAAAGTCAGCTCTGTGCCTGAGCAGCCAAAGGAGGAGAAAGAAGCAGTGAAGCCTTCAGCTGCTGTAGCAGAACCAGAGTCATCTCCCAATACTGTCGTAGAGAAACCTGGGAAGAAAACAGAGTTGACAAGAATTCAACAAAAGGACAGGAAGAGGTGGGTCGTGCCTTTCAGGGTCCCTGTGAACCTGCTGGGGGATGGGTCGGACAATGCTGGCTCACCTCCTGTTTCCATCTACTGAATTGTGTTGAACCTGACTAAAACCATCTCTCAGGATTTTTTGCTGGTGTTCCTTTTCCACTGACTGCTGTAGCTGCCTCGGTGCCATCACACACGGGAAGGGATGGGCCCAGGTTGTCTCCAGTGGGAGGGGATGGCTTTCCATGAGCCAATCTCCCACTGTGAGCAGATTTAGGACAGACCCCAGGCGGTGTGGGGAGGGCTGGCAGGAGCACCTGTCCTGCAGGGGAGCTGGGATATTCCCAGCTTGCATGTACACAGCTTCCAGCACAAAGTTCTGCTTGTTGATCTCCATAGCTAATGTACKGCTGCTTTCAATGCCGCTGGTTTACTTTGGGCTCAGGCTCCAAGTTAATTTTAAGCTCAGCCCTTTGTGTTTAGTCCAACCCAAACTGACAGAGACAAAGAATCACTAGAGTCTGATGGCTCTCTGGTGGCCTATGAGTAATTAATTGGTGGTCTCAATCCATTTCTAAGCGAAGAGGTAAGCACACCACCCAGCCCACCATGGCAGTTAGCACTAACTGCTTGTCTTATTGATAGTCTTGTCCAGAAAGCCAAGGGCCTGGAGGTGTTGGCAGCACCAACAGTTCAGTTGGGAAGGCCACTCGGGCTGTCCCAGCTCTTTGAGGATACGTGGGCCTTTAGCCTCCAGGCTTGTTCGTCTGACACGTCTTGCCAGCATTAAAAAGAAAGAAGCTATTTTATTTTTCCAGTAGTCTTTAAAAATGGCTCCAGGATTCTGAGACACTACCTCATAGTCAGTCAGTGGCAAGCAGTCTGTCAAAAGAGCTTCTGAGTGATGCTTTTGGGGACATTGGGAGCCTGAGCTAAAGAGACAAGATCAGAAATATGCTTTTGCCAGGCTGCTGTGGCCAGGCGAGGTGAGGCACTGGGCTGAGCTGCAGAGGGGCTAAAGAAATCCTCCTTGTTTTGGAGAGCTGGGTATGGGGAAGGATGAGAGGCCTGGAAAGGCTTGTGCATCTCTGCCTGGTTGTGTAGTCAGTGCACAGCTCAGTGTGCACGATGCTCGTGTTTTTAAGAGGTGTTGGATTTCCTTCTGTGAYGTTTTCATGCACACTCGAGAGATAATGGGTGCTCATTGCCTTTTTCTCCCTTTTCTTTTTGTGGCAGTAAAACAAAGAGGGTCAATAGGTCGGATGATGAGGAAGAAAGAGATCCTGAAAATGTAAAGAAAAAGAGGAAGCGAATCAAACAGCTTCAGTCTGACAGCAGTGATGAGGAAGGTAAAAAGATCTGTAAACAACCCGTAGGTCAGGGGCCTGATTTCCAAAACATTAATCTCCAAATCTGTTGGGCAGTGATTGAGGGAATAGTTTAAAGCACTAAAGATGGTGGAAATGGCTGTAKCTTGAGCTTTCTGTTTATCTCTGTGCTGCAAGCACTTGGGCATAGAGCTGAGATGTCTCGGTGGTTCAGTCTCTGTTTTAGCTGAGCTCAGACCTGGCTGTCTCCTCAGCAAGTGTGCTGCCAGTGCCACTGACGTGTGCAAAGGAGGTTCCCAAATCTCTTGTGAAAGATAGCATGCCTTCCAGAACTGTAGGGCTGGTCAAAACCAGTTCATTTGGGGAATAAACACTCACCAGTGACCTCCCTCTCCTCATGGGGTCATTTTTAGTATCTTTGTCCTGTCTGTTTATAGAAAGGGTTTGGAAAAAAGTGTTGGAAGCAAGGCTTCAAAAAAAAAAGAGATAATAGAGAAACTGAAGGCAAAGCAGTTGAGCCATATCTGCTGCGACTCTGCGTCTCCTCGGTGGCTGTGACAGGAGTGGGGGTGCCCAGAATATTGCAAGATTGGGCTCAGAATGAGGAACAGCAGGGCTGGATTCCAAGGAATTTGGATAATGGAGGTGACAAATGCCGTTCAATATAGATAACTGGAAAAGAGGTTGGGATTGAGCATGGGAGTATGTGCTAAATGGAGCAGGCTTCCAACAAGCTGCTGGGGAGAAGAACTCCGAGATCATTGTGGACGAGTAATTGAAACCACCAGTCYGGTGTAGAGCTCAGTAAGAGGAGCTGAAACAGCAGATGGGGGGTGTTGGTGAGGAGGTGGAGTCCCTCAGAGAACCAGAGCTGATTCCTCATTTGGTGTGGCTGGCACATGGGCAGCAACCAGGACATCAGGAAAATCTGCACTGCCAGGGAGAGGTGGCTGCTCTTGGCATCTTCATAGTCTCTGTGCCACCTTTAGGCATTGTTTTCATMGTTTCCCTCCTGCCCACATTATTTCAAGTGATCTTTGTTATCAGGCATGTCTCACTTCTTCTTAGACTGTTCCACAAGATGATAAATCTCTCAGGAAGTTCTTCTTCATGATCATTATTTCTTTAAATGTTTGTCTTYCCATTTTCCTCATCACTCACCTGCTGACAAGCTGGGTTGTTTAGCTCTGAGGAGGGAGTTTTGAAATCACCCCATCCTTGCTGGGCTGGAATCTCTCAGCTCATCCCCATCCTCTGAGTGAGGCAGGCAGGAGTTTGGAATATCAGAACTCTCTGATCTCCTGTGGGATACCTGCATGTGCTGAACAATTGGAGTTTGGAGTTTGGAATATTAGAACTCTGTGATCTCCTGTGGGGTACCTGCACGTGCTGAACAATTGGAGTTTGGAGTTTGGAATATCAGAACTCTCTGATCTCCTGTGGGATACCTGCACGTGCTGAGCAATTGGAGTTTGGAATATTAGAACTCTCTGATCTCCTGTGGGATACCTGCACGTGCTGAACTATTGGAGTTTGGAGTTTGGAATATTAGAACTCTCTGATCTCCTGTGGGATACCTGCACGTGCTGAACAATTGGAGTTTGGAGTTTGGAATATTAGAACTCTCTGATCTCCTGTGGGATACCTGCACGGCCTTGGCATGTGCTGAACAATTAATGCTTTTGAATGGGATGCCTTCTGGCTTCATTTATTCCAAGGTTTATGTCTCTCTAGTGACCAGGGGTAGAACCTGAGGGAAGGGCTGGAGCTGCCCCAGGGCAGGTTTAGGTTGGATATTAGGGAAAAGTTCTTCCCTCAKAAGGTGGTCAGGCACTGGGGAGGGTTTTTGTCACTGCTGTTGCTGCTCCTGCATTGGAGCTCTCTTGTTCTTTATTTCTTTGTGTTGTGCATTACAATTGTAAATTCATGCAAATGATAGCATATGTAGAGAAATTTGGATATCACTCAGTTTGCCCTTTCAAAAGGGAAAATRAGAATTGAGGGAGTTCAGCCCTTGTCCTGCTGCTTGCCCGTTAAATCCAGMCAGATGAAAGAAGATAGATTGGAATTGTTTGGAATATTCCTAAGGAGTCCAAACTGGTAATATATTCAGTATGCAAGTAGAACACTGAGCTGGATGAAACAAAYGATTTTAAGAAATAATAATATATACAGCAGCTGGACTTGTAGAGCATTCACCTTGGCAAGGTTGGAAGCAGGTTTCTCCAGAGAGCAGGGGCAACTTGTATCAACAGCATCAGATGGCAGAATGGGACATGGAGTGACAGGCACACTTAGCAAGGTTTTGTGGTRTGAAATTCAGTCTGTATGGCTGATGTGAAGCACTCTATGGGCACTTGTGTCTCAAGGCAGGTCTTCTGCCTAATTCTATATTAGTCTGCTCTTGATGTGCTAAAAGTAGCCCAGAATAAGCTCTCCTTACACCAGAGTCAGCACATTGTACCACGYTGAAAATACAGAGAGGGCATAAGGCACAATCCTCTCCATTTAAATGATTTTTCATTAAAAGTTATATTGGTATGAGGGCTCCTTAGTCACTGCGGGTTGTTTTGCTTCCAGTGCCAGAATAAACTCCACAAATGTGCCCACAGAGGACAGGAGGTTTGGCAGCTTCAGCTGTACCAACACAGGCAGCTTTGGCAGTGTTGACAAGGGTTTTACAGCCACTTTGGAGGCTGATTGCAGTGGCACTGTGACCTACAAACTCCGTGGGTTTCCGAGAGCCACAGCAGAAGCACTAAAGCTTCTCACAGTTTTTCCAGGCAGGGTCAGAGCAAACTGAACAAAGCCAGGATTTACATCTTTGGGCCATCCAGTTGCCCAACCTGTATCCATTTCATGCAGCTGTTGCTGTTGAGTAAACTGTGGGCAGCAGCACGAGGTTGACTCAGGAGTTATCACATGTCAGAGGGCTGTGCTGGCTACAAGAGGATAATAAAGTAATAAAGAGCTTGACAGTAGTCCTGAACACTTTGACGTGGGGAGAGGGTGCCTTCTGCCTGCCAGAAGCTGGCGAAAATTGTTTGGAGGAAGCTGAAAAACGTCCAAATTTCCCCCAAGGAATCTAGTGGAGCTGGCCCCCTGGCAGTGCCTTCAGCAGCTCTGCTTGAGCGTGGCAGAGGCTTTTCACCAGTGTTCAACCCTCTTAGCCTGTCCTCTGATGTTTCCAAAGAGCCAAGGCCAGGCTGGGCTCTGGTGGTGCAGGTTTGGTGTTGGGCAGTGT